TTATATATATATATATATATATATATATATATATATAAACAAGTGTTCAAACAAGCAAGAGTTTGAACCTGTTATCTAAGATCAAACTCTTGATTTGATTTTAACATCATAAATGAGTTTATCTTACTCATTGCTTGCTTATTTTAAATTAAATTGTTTTAATAGATATTTGAACTGATTGTGCTACCAGTTGAGAGATTCGTGTTAAAGGTTATGAAGAATAATTCTAATTATTACTACATCTATGCTGGTGATCCCTTCATTATCTTTACATATGTTGTGTAGCACCCTGTTGCTTGGGGCTTAGGCGCAGAGCCCTTTTATGAAATATTTTTATTATTTGAAATAAATGGTAGTTTGAATTGAGCGCCCCATTTTAGATTGGTCCCAATTTATTCAAAGTACTGCCCAATGTGGATCAAATTGTCTTAACATGATTTGATTTATCCCAACTGGCTCTTATAGGCACTAAACATTCATATGACTTGGCTTGCATTAAGGACATTAAGGACATTAAGGAGTGTCAATTTAAACTCTTAATGTCAGTGCTTGAATCAATCAAAGCACTTGCTGGGAAATTGAGTCATTTTAAATGATACTAAGTACAATCTGATTCAATAAAAAAATGACTTGAACTAGCTCGAGCTAGTACTTGGTGGGCAAAGTAGGTCATGTTGACATCAATGAAGTTTGTCATGGAGTGATTGTAGTTAAACTAAATATTCATGACAAGGATTAACATTGTATGGCTTAACATAGTGAATGCTTAAGCTCTTCAAGTAGAATTAGAAGAAAGCTTGGAAATTGAACTTGTGGAAAATATGAAAGTAGCATTGTAGCAAATATCTTAGGAAGAGGGTATAATTATTAAACTTAAGATAATTTAGGTGTTTGTTTGATGGGCTATTGGAGGAGATGAAAATGTGTTTGAAATTGAATTTGATTCAACAATAGGGAGCATACAGTAAAAAAAGTTCATATACTATATTTTAAAAGTTAATCTACATAATCTCAAACATACTGTTTTCAACTAAAAAAATGAAAAAAAAAATCTTCTTATAAAGATTGTAAGAGAATGTTGTCGGAAAGCTGTACCACATAAAATTATAAAGAAATTAGTTAAAATAGATGATTGCCCGTTGGTGAGAATGTGAAAAAAGGTGAGACGTTGTCAATATATAAGGACAGGTTATTAAAAGTGGCAAATTGGAATAAAAAATTGAGTCAAAATCAATGAGATTTAAAATGGTTAATTTCATTAATAAGATGGTAAAAGAGAACGTGTACAAGTTCAGAAAAATTTCACATGCAGTTAAAAGAGATTTTGTGGAGGAGTTAGCAGGTGCTAAATATTGCTTCAATTTTGAAACTTAGGATAGCAGAAATGTACTTCTTTACAATTTACAACTTACAAGAAGTACATTAGTAAGGATTGTTAAGTGGGTATTAAGCTAAGACAAGTTTATGGGGTTTGATGATTTATATAGTAAGCTAGGTATTTAGATAGATGAAAGTGCAATAATATTAAATACCCAAAGTAAGAGAAATGTGACATGAGACTCTGATTGGTTTTGGTTTATTAAAATAACCAATATTGCTTAAATATAAAGATAGGAATGTGAAAATATTATAGTGAGGATTTTTTTTTTCAAGAAAAGCAAAATTCAAGGAAGTATCAATGCCTATAATGTTATTATGGGACTGGGCAATGTAACAATTGTCTAGAAAAATCTTATTGATGTTAGAGTGTCAATTTGGCTTTAATGCAACACAGATGAATTATAGGGGTGATTTTTTACTAATGTAATTAATGAAAAATATGGACAAAAATAGCTCCATGTGATTTTTATTGACCTTAAAAAAGCTTATAGTTGAGTACTTCAAGAACTGATCTTGTGGCGTCATTTTGGAGAAGAGATACCTAAGATATGTTGAGTTTATGATTAAATCTACGTTGTTTTAGCATGTCTTGGTTATGCCTACAATAAATTAGTTTTACGTGGTATCTTGTTGTATGCGATTTACACTTGGTATAACCCTAGTAGGGGATACTCTGTCAAAGTCAAATATTATAACCATGTTCGCAACACTTTAAAAGAAAGGTTGTTTAAAATCTATAGTACAATGTATGTTATTGTAGTTGAATTAAATTAAATAAGTATCAATCAATAATATTGGAGCATCTTTTGTTGATAATGTGTGATCGGTTTAGCTGTCCTGGGGATGCACGCTAGAAGCCTAATGTCATATAAATACCACTTGATATGTATAAAATTAATGGTATATGTCTTGAAACTTGAGGAATTCTCGGTAACATGCAACAATAATTTAGACTGCCCTGTTTGTATTCGTGGACCTATTTTCCATATTCTAATTTGTGTACATCTGACTTAAATATAAGATCATGATTATAGCAGTTCTGTTACAAGTGAAACTCTGCGTTGCTAAGTGGATTTTTAGATTTTGAAAGATACTGTTGCACTCATATGCAACAATGCAGGTTTTTGTGTATGGGTAAAATAACGGGATTCCTATTTCCCATGCTTATATGTTGCCTATTTGTTTCAATGCTTATATCAGTCTGCCTGATTTTCTTTTAGCATATTTAAAATCATTTCTCAGGTGAAGGTAAGGAACTGGGTAAATGGTGTTGAAAGTGCAAATTTAGTCGGGCTTAGCGCGAGATTCGGGGCCTCTTTGCCAAGGCATGCTTCTGAAGCTCAACAATGGCCCTCTGCTCTTGCTAATCCCTTCAACTGCTGTACCAATTTGACATCAAAGGTTCTTGTTTACTTGTTATCTTTTTTTGTACTAATAGTCTAGTATGTGTCTGCACTCTTCGTTTTCTGCATAAAGAAACCTACCCTGCATCCACAATTTTGATTTTAATATTCTGATTTTTTTTTAAGTTTATGATACTATAAAAGTGTTGAGATTATTACACATAAATTGTAAGAAATGTTAATGTCCATTTATGCTGCTGATATTTTTTACTGTTAGTAATATTTCAAATAACATGCATGTGATTCTTCTAGAACAACCTTCTATTGTCTCTGTTACTTCTGAAAAATATGGCATGCTGTTTCTTTATTTTCTTTTAAATCTTAAAATATGTATAGTTTGAGCGAAAAAAAAAAAAAAGTATAGTTTGAGCGAAAGCTTCCCTCAGGTTTTGCCTTTCTTGAGTTATGAAAACTTCGCCTTAAGCCTTTTTAAGGTGGTTTGACCAAGTATTTTCCTATTTCAGGTGGATTATATCAAGGGTAAGCCTTAAGCCCATATCTTTTTGCTTTAGTCATTGGATGTTCCCACTAAACATTTGCAAGAGGTTGTACCCTGGTGCTTGCTTTTTGCTGATGATATTCTTCTTGTTGATAAGACTAGAGAGGGAGTTGAAGGTAAATTGAATTATGGAGGTCAACCTTAGAGTCTACAGGCTTTCATTTGAGTAGATCTAAAACTGAATATATGAAGTATAATTTTAGTAATAGTAGATCTAGTGGTGGGAATGTGACTTTGGGTGATCAAGTCATTAATAAGAGTATGTGTTTTCGATATCTTGGGTTTATTGTTCAGAGTGATAGTGAAATAGATGGGGATATTATTAGTAGAATTCAAGTTGGATGGTTGAAGTGGAGGAATGTATTGGGCTTGTTGTGTGATAGAAAAGTCTCCTATAAGATGGTGGTTTGACCTGTAATGATTTATGGTGCAGAATGTTGGTCATTAAAAGAGAAGCATAATATAAGTTAAGTGTTGCAGAGATGAGGATCCTCAGGTGGATGAGTGGCTTTACTTTTAGAGACAGGATACGAAATGAGCATACACGTGAGAAGGTTGGAGTAGCTCTAGTGGAAGATAAGATTAGAGAGAATCGCCTTAGATGATTTGGTCACATAAGACGGAGGCCTTCTGTTGACCCGGTTAGGATAGTAGATGTATTAGATTTGACTTATGTTAAGAAAGGTCTAGGTAGACCTAAAAAGACTTCGTTAGAAAATATTAGTAATGACATTTCTATATTATATTTAAATGATAATTTAATTTTTAACAGGTACAATGGAGAGAAATGATTCATGTAGTCGACCTCACATAGTGGGATAAAGGCTTGATGTTGTTGTTGTTTTTGTTGTTGTAAGAAAAGGTTCAGAGATTTAACAGTATTAAAAAACATTAGAAAGAAGTCTTAAGAATATCTGAAGGATAGCATTTCAATTTAACCTAATAACTATTATATTTTATCAATTATCCATAAAGTGTGGCACGGTGAATTTGCATGGTATCATATATCTTAAAATATCGCGTGGACATTGACAATCATCTTCATTGATTCAGTTCCAAATTTAGCTTTGATAGTGTAATGTGTTCCTTCTCAAACTTCCTTATTAGTTATAGCTGCTCGGTTTGAAACAAGTGACATGCTCGAGAAGATTGGTACTTCATTTCAGTCATTCAAGAAACACAAGGCCCGTGCCTTCGTATGAGATGTTTTATTTGTGTGGTTAAAGGCATAAGTCCCTATTGTGACTGACAAAGTTTCTTATTGTTACAGTAAAACTTAATTACTAACTGTTACGGAAAATGTAAATAAAGTCCGACCTTAAAAATAGCTGCAAGTTAAATGCTTTGGATACAGCTAGGTGAGGCATCTTTTCTTTGCAGTGAATTACAGAAGTATTGACATTCTAACTTGTTGATCAAGTCTGTTACTGCTTCATTGATTGTGCTTGTATTTGTCTTATGTGGTGTTGCATCTATTTGATTTTAAATATGGAAGCTCTCTTTGCTGCAGTTATCAAATTCCATTGCTTTGGCCAAACGTGGAGATTGCACCTTCACTGCGAAGGCAATTGTTGCACAGGCAGGTGGTGCAACAGGCTTACTGGTGATTAATAATGATGAAGGTTAACTGTTATTACACTCAATGATGCTATTTTAGTTCAATGGTAAATGTATGCGAGGGGCTTTTGCTTCTGAATAGAGGGCCTAGACTGGATAAATTTTGCTATAAATTAGTATATTTGCGTCCTGATCATTGTCATCAATGGCATCCCTAAAATGTCTGGGTTTCCATGTACATATATGGTGTTGGTCGGTTTGTTTCACTCTTATCACCTTATGCAATTCTTGTTCAATAAGGGGAACCTGGGATACTATCTGCCTGCCTTTAGGACAGTTATCATTTATCATCATGATTTTGTATTTGTCCAGATGTTTAGCTGTTTTTTTTTTTTTTTTTTTTTTTTTTTTTCAGTTTATATTGCTGACTAATCCTTTCACGGATGATATTAGCTTTATCTTTAAACTTGTTTCTGTGTTGTAGATCTTTACAAGATGGTATGCAGTGAAAATGATACTTCCATTGCTGTCACTATTCCTGTCGTGATGATACCAAAGTCCGCTGGGGATAAGTTAACAGATTCCTTGGATAAGGGGGGGAGAGGTGAACATTGTTTTTTAGACTTCTATTATTATAGAAGTATTTAATTTTTGCAAATATTTAACTGTTTTTATTCTGAATGTGAAGCATGCATTGCTTAAGTGAGGTTTATACCTTTCTCCATGCACCTTTTTATCTTACTGTTAATACTTTTGTCCTTTGAAGAACTGAAAGTGAGATATATTATTTGTGTTTGCTTATATAATCTGCATTCTTGATTTATTTCTTATAGTAGCGTTCTCATGGCGCAAAGTGTTGGCCATTAAAAGAGAAGCATAATATTATGTTAGGCGTTGCTGAGATGAAGATGCTCAGGTGGATGAGTGGATTTACTCTTAGAGACAAGATACAAAACAAGCATATTTGTGAAAAGGTTGGAGTAGCTCTAGTGATAGATAAGATTGGAGAGAGTCGCCTTAGATGGTTTGGTCATGTAAAACTGTTGCATTACGATGACCCTGTTAGGAGAGTAGAAGTATTAGATTTGGCCTGTGTTAGGAAAGTTAGAGGTATACCTAAAAAGGCTTGGTTAGAAAATATTAGAATTGTCCTTTCTTTATTAGATTTAAATGAGAATTTGACTCTTAACATGACACAGTGGAGAAAAAGGATTCATGTAGCTGACCCCATGTAGTGGGATAAAGGCTTGATGTTGTTGTAGTAGCATTCTCATGGATTTCCCTGTTTCTATATCCTCTGAACGACTTTTAGTTTCATGATGGAAATGGTAATAGAATATTTATCTGATTTAGTATCTTTAATATTTGAAAAGATTACTGATCCAAACTTCACTTCAAGCTTGACATTTAATCTTGGAATGAAAATTTGTAGTTGATAGTGATTTTATTTATAGATCCTTTGTCATCACGCATGCAAGAAGTTCCATCCTTTCTTGGAGTAAGGATGGAACTTTGCAAGATTCAAGACTCTAATAATTCCCTTCTTAAGCAAGCTATCTACTTGTCTTTTAGTTTCCATATAATTAGTTGGATTCATCCTATAGTTGGGGAGATTAAGCAAAGATTATTCATGAGCAAGGTTAATGGCATTGCTAGATATTATGAGGAGTTGGAAGTTCATCGGGAATATTCAAAGGATATGGTTCATTTGAAATTATACAAAACCTTACTAACATCTTAAGGCAACATAAAAGGATTTTTAGTAAGATTTTTTGTTTATATAGCAACCAATGTATAAATAATTCCTAGTCTCAATTTCTCACTTTCAAACTAAATATATGATGTGTTCTACTTTGCAATTTGAGTGATGGTTGATCTAAATTTTTTATCTCATGCTAGTGTAAAGGTTTTAATTTGGGTAGATCTAAATCCGAACATGTGGTGTGTAATTTTAGTAGTAATAGATATAGTGCGGGGATTGTGACTTTAGGCGATCAAGTCATTAATAAGAGTCTACATTTTAGATTTCTTAGGTCTATTGTTCAAAGTGACGTTGAAATAGTTGGGGATATTATTAGTAGAATTCAAGTTGGATGGTTGAAGTGGAGGAATGCATCGAGTTTGTTGTATGATAGAAAATTACCCCTCAAACTTAAGGGAAAATTTTATAAGATGGTGGTGAGACATGCAATGCTTTATGGCTCAGAATGTTGGCCATTGAAATAGATGCATATAATTAAGGTTAAGTGTTGCTGAGATGAGGATGCTAATGTAGATGAGTGGCTTCACTCTTAAAGACAAAATGCGAAACGAGTATATACATAGCTCTAGTGGTTGATAAGATTAGATAGAGTTTCCTTAGATGGTTTGGACACATAAAACACCGACCTTCCGATGACCCGGTTAGGAGAGCAGATGTATTGGATTTGGCCTATGTTCAGAAAGGTAGAGGTAGACCTAAAAAGACTTGGCTGGAAAATATTAGAAATGACATTTTAAAAAATAAATAAATAAGAATTTGACCCTTAACAGGATTTAATGGAGGAAAAAGATTCATGTTACCGACCCCACGTATTGGGATAAATGCTTGATGTTACTGTTGTTGTTGGAAGTATTGAAGATTTTCTTCTTATCCTTATGCTTTGAAAACTAGGTGCTTGACTTAATGAGGTTTTTGACATCTAAATCATACAATAAAGGTTTGTCCAATGGAACATTCTGTCTATGGGTAAGACGTCATTTCAAATTCTATAAGAGTTAGCAAACTTAAAGGAACATAACATGCCTATATAATAGGCATGGAGATCTTATCAACACCTGCAACTTTATGAGGATATGGGTGGCATTTATGCTAAGATAAACTCATTTTAAAGCACATGTTGCTTCCACATTCATGCAATTGCTAATATCAATAATGAGCTAGCGTGAGTTATCAACTGCCCCTAAATTAGCTTGAGGTGTTGTAACAAAGTTCAGAGAGGTTTTCCACTACATCGCTCACATCCGGACTTGGGTCATGAACAGCTTCATCTTTATGAAGTTCCTATTCATCTCCAACATGTGCATAATGTCCTATTTGTTGACGTTTAAAACAAACAAAATCAGTGTTTACGAGATGTGCATTATGGCTTTACTTGGCATCTTTGTTAAAGATGAACTTACTTTCTTTAGAGGCAGTAGGCTTTCTAGTGGATTTAGATGTAGTATTATTTTACTACACAGGATGCTGGTAAGTTTCCCAAATTAAACCTGCTAGTAGCAGTTTTGAGATATTGCTCAAGCTCACGTGCTAGTTAAAATATGTTGTTTATAGAACAGAACATTATCAGGAAGCATTTCTTTCCTACCGTCAAATTGCAATCCATTCCAAATTTAGGCTAATTAAATTTACCACCTCAATCAATTTTACATTTAAACATGAAATTCTCATATTTTTTTCATGTAATTGCTTAATGAAAACGGTTCTTATTTCAAAGTATTAAATTTATCCACATTATGATCTTTATAAGTAGTTGAAAGACATTTTTCCTTGTGCAGTAATTTTTTTATCAACTATTTAATTGATTTACCTGTCCTTGGAATTATCTTTCCATACTGATATGTGAATTTTAGCAGGCCCTGTATGTTTTAGATTAGCAAATCTAACTTTATACTGCATCACACTTTTTTTCACTCAAAATAGTGGTCTAACGGCCATTCAGTTGAGAGTTTTGGATCATTTTTACCATAAAAAAGGGTTCTTCAAACTTCACCTCTTTATATCGCCATCTATCTCTCTCAGGGTTCTTTTATGGATATGCATTACCATAATGATGTGAATCTAGTCCATGGATGTGTTGTATGTTAGGAAACTTTAGTGGAAGACTACGAGAACTGTGCAGGGGGAGTTGTGTTGAAGTCCATTATGATATGGAGAAATTGAAATCAGTTTTATCATCAACTGGTCATGTTTAACGCTCAGATTAATTGGCATGCTATTGTTCTGTTCTGCATTTTCATTAGAAAGGCGTCCAGGAGCTTATTAAGATTCTTACATATGCACTGCTGTGCAACCCTCTATTAAATCTACCTTATCTCTTATTTGGTTTACTTCACGAAAAATCTGATATTTTTGGGTTTGCATACTAGTTAACTGCTCATTCAAACCATACAAGAGAAAAATAATGAATCTTTTGTTAATGGACTTTTAATCCACAGGACTTGAGATCACTCCAAGTACTAGAAAAACTCAAAGTATGACTGAAATTTCAAATATGTGTGAAATCTGAATAAAATCAATAACACAACTCATCGAGGAAATGATCAATGAGGTCGATGTGATTCCCCAATCTCTTCTTCAATCGTCGCACTTTTGAACGCAGAAGAGACCCCATATGGGGAGGGAAGCTTTATTCTCAGTTACCAATAATCTAATCTTATTTACGACAGACTACCATTCATATTAAGAGGATAAGTAGCAATAGAGAAATCAAGGAAATAATGAGAAATATGGCCTTTTGTGCATTTAGTATTGGGCTTCAAGAAATACAAGAGATAATCCTCTGTGGTGGTTCCAGATTCTTCTAATGCATATATATTTTTTTTCTCTGCCAGCCGACTTACAGTGTTGATCTTGTTGTACTACAATCAGTTTTAGTTTGACATTCTTGTTGTAAGTTCAAACTTATTACTCTGTGGGACTAAACCTACGTCCCTTACTTGGAGATCAAATAGACATTGAACTACCAATAGTTAATCTAATTCGTGTATGCATATTTGTTGTTCTTATTGTGAATCATTTTTTCTTGGGGTCCATTGGGTTGCTAGAAGTTAAAAGTCATGCTATATCCACACACACCTATTTTTTCTACCTTCCGAGTTTTTTTGCTGTATTTGTTTCATCAACTCTTTTCATCCTAAATATGATACTCTTTCTTAGGCCTTTAAATGTATGTTTTTGGGTTATTCTCATACTTAGAAAGGTTATTGATGTTATGATTTTTCTACACATTCACTTTGTGTCTTCTTTATCATAACCTTTCATGAGACCTCCCTCCAATACATTCTTACCTCATACACTACCATATTTTCTCCATGTATAGTACTTCCACCCATTGCTCCAATTCCTTCTCCACTATAGGTTAATGAAATTTAATACTTTGAAACAATTTCCCTAATTGTTCTATTTAATTCTTTTTGACCTCCTTCATTAATCAAGATTGGTCTTTACTCTAAATGGATTTCAGCAATACTTTAATAGAGAACCACTCAAAGCTATTTATATGGAACAACTTCTAGGGTATGTTGTAGAGGCGGAGAGCAAAGTTTGCAAGCTTCGAAAAATATATCTTTGTGCTTTATTTGATAAACTCTAGGTGGTCCTTGTTGATATTGATCTTCAAAGTAACTTGATTGATCACTTTATTTTAATTCACTACTCATCCTCTAGTATAATGATCTTTTTTATGTATGATGATGAGATTTTTCAAACTTAAAATGTTATTTATACTACTGAGGAAATAAAAGTATATTTATAAGTAGAAATTTAGGAGTCCCGTATGTGAACTTGTTGAATCTCCATGAATCTCTGTAGTCATTCATTATGAAAACTTCGAGTATACTTCTTGCTATTGACAGTTGGATGGTAAGCTTAGATATTTTCCTGTCACACATCCTAAATATATTTTTTTGGTCTTTGTGGTTAGTCAGTATATGCAAAACTCAAAAAAGAAATGTTGGGATTTTCTCTTATGATATTTAAGATATATCTGAAGTTCTTTGGGAAAAGGACTAATTTATTGAAAACACAATCATTTAAAGATTAAAGCTTATTTTGATGATGAGTATTGTGAGTCCATTGAAGATTAGAAGCCTACTTGAGGACACTATGTTTTTGTGGGAGGTAACCTTATTTCCCGGAGAAGTAAGAAGCAAACTATCGCACTAGATCTAGCATGCTCAATATTGGGTTTTGACATATTTTGCTTGTTAAATGATGTGTATCAAAACTCTAGTATAAGAATTTGATTTCTTTAAAATACAACCCATGATACTCAATTATGATTACCAAGCGACAATCTACAATATTAGCAATTATATCTTCCATGAATGAACCAAATATATTGAAGTGGATTTTAACTTCATCGGAGCTGATGTTCTAAAGATCATCACTTCTCAAACCCCCAGCAAAAAACAATTATCTTATATTGATTAACTAGGCTCTAGGACCACTCGATTTTTCCAATATTTGTAGCAAGTTGGACTCCTTGATATATATGCTCCAGTTTAAGAGCGAGTGATATTAGCGATTTTACTATTTTTAAAGTATTAAGTTTTTAATGTTTGTCCTTTTTACTATGATATATCTTCAACATTAAGGATATTCTCTTTAATATTATTATGTTTTAAATATTTTATCTCTTGTATTTTTCTATAGGTATACATACAGTCATGTTAAAATCAATTTCAATATTTTTTCTCTTAAAAAAACAAGCCTCTTTTTTTTGATGGAGTGATGCATTCTTTGCAACTCAGGTTGCTTGATATTGCTGAGGTGGTGCAAGAAAGCTTAAGTATAGTTGCAAGGCTTTCTATGGAAATTCTAGTTAAAGAAGCAACATATTTATAAATTGCTGTGGATGTGCCATTGTCTCGCAGGGATCTGCATATCAGATTTCTTATATTTCCTTTTCCCTGTTCTTGTAGAATTGTTAAAGTGGATGGAGGAAATTTAAATTGCGAATATTTTAATGTTGACTTTGTTGTATTCTTGAAACAAATTAAGTTACTATTTTGATTTTGTATTATATTGAAAATAGTGGTTTGTGCACGTTGTTGCATCACAGCTCTTTTGCCTTGTAACTAAGTTAATATTTTTTTCTGACAGTGGAAGTCCTCTTATATTCTCCTGAACGTCCTGTTGTGGATTTATCCGCAACCTTTCTATGGTTGATGGCTGTTGGAACAATTATCTGTGCTTCCCTATGGGCTGAATTTATTGTGTGTGAGCCAGTAGACGAACGTTATAATCAGTTGGAATGGAAGGTTTTTTGTTTCCTTGCCTTTCTCTTTCCATAATTCTAAAGCAATTTGTTTTCAAAAAATTTTAAAAACTATAAATGCCATGAAGCAATTCATTTTGATTTTGTACTTTTATGATACTATCATATATGTTTCATGATTTTTTTAATGGTTTTAGATCATTCTTTTACTTTTTATGTTTTAACCAAACCCTTTTGTTTTAATGCTGAAACTAGATTTTTTCCCCTTTTCTTACACCTCATAGCAATAGCATATTTTGGCATGTGGCTTTGTTAATTTTATCACCTTCTTATAATTTTTTCCAGTTGTAGTTGGCAGTTTTTCAAGGTTAAAGTACTTGGGAAGTTCTCAAGGTTTTGGCTGCTTATAAGTTCATAAAATTGTCAAACTTGTTGGCCCACAAACTTTATTACCTTTCTTGTAGCCTCCTTCAGTTTCACTTTTTAACTTTATTTAGGTTCTTATATAGCAGACCCTTTAAAGAGTCGCACTTGTTTGGTTCCATGAAATTGCCCTGACTTACTACCCCTTTCCTTAAAAATGGCATGATTCAATGCATGAAGCTTTTGCCACTGTAATGTCTTTGAGTGGGTTTGATGTATGTGGCCTTATTTTTGCATTATAGAGAGGTTATTTCTGTGACTCACTCATAACCACCAAGTCATACTAGAGGCAATTTAATCACTTCTCTAGGCTTGCCCTCTATTATTCCCTTCTCATAAGCAAATAAAAATTCATAATTAAGTCCTTACCTACCAACAATTAGGAAAGCTATATTTTTCCTATCCATTTTTTGTCAATATTTATTAATCTTTTGGGCTTTCACTACAGATGTATGGTTGACGATGTTCAAAATTTTCATTAATGGACTATCAAATATTGCGCCAGTCTAATGCTTATTTTGTATGCCAAAAGTTCCTCAGTTTAAAACTTTAAATGGAATAACTTTTTATTAGCTAAGTGTATATTTGGAATAACTCCAATGGGTGTTTAAAAAAAAAGTCATAATTTACATGCTTTCTTGTATTATTAAGCATACACCTTTTACTTTTAGTGAAACTTTTCGCCTAAACAAATTGTTATCAGATTAAATGAAATGTAGTTTGTATCATTTTTAGAGTTTCCTTGGTTAAAATCTTATGGATAGAAAAAACGAGTTTCCCTAATTGTAGGATTGGAGCCTGACTTTTCTCTCTATAATTTGAAGTAAATAAACAATAATTATATGAATATCGTGATAATCTATTTGGTTTATTTTGTTATCAATTATCATAGAAAGGTTCTATTGGGCATGCATGTTTTCTTGTATTATTAAGCTTACACCTTTTACTTTTAGTGAAACTTTTCGCCTAAACAAATTGTTATCAGATTAAATGAAATGTAGTTTGTATCATTTTTAGAGTTTCCTTGGTTAAAATCTTATGGATAGAAAAAACGAGTTTCCCTAATTGTAGGATTGGAGCCTGACTTTTCTCTCTATAATTTGAAGTAAATAAACAATAATTATATGAATATCGTGATAATCTATTTGGTTTATTTTGTTATCAATTATCATAGAAAGGTTCTATTGGGCATGCTAAGCCTTACTCCAAAACTGTTAGTTTTAGGGCTAGGCCCAGTCAAGGCCCCTTTATTTTTGCAGTCAATTTTTGTCCAGGCCCATAATGTCCTTTTTGGTGGACACAGCTAACAGTCTTTCATCAACTGATCAAGTTCACTTTTATTCCTCCCCACCCAATCATTCCAATCCTTATCATCTTTTCTTCTCCAATGCTTCCTTCATTTCTCCCACAATGTCTCCTCCCTAATTACTATTTTGTTGTTGTTGCTCCCCTTGATGCAGTACAGCAATTTGGAAAGCCTTAAGTGCCCCTAATATGGAATAAAATACATTAATGTGGAAATATTGTAAAAAGGAAGATTACGGATAATAGGAAATGGGAAATTGATGAGAAAATGGAATTAAAACAAAGGAAAAAAGAGAATCAAATCATCAAGGCCTGTTTCTTCAAGCTATACACTTGGAATGAAATGATTTCACATCCATGTTAAAGAAAATATAATTTAATCATTGATCATTATCCATTGTCTGTGATAACCTTTAGGAACTCTATTTATGGAATAGGATTAATAACAAACTAATGAATTTAAAAAAAAATCTGAAATTACTAGTACAATAATCAAAAATTCAAAATGATCATGAAGTTCAAATATCATAAAAATAAATCATGACATTATTGAACTTAGAAATATGCACCACTTACCGCATTACCCTGCTACTTGATCTAGACCTAGCTTCTCTCTCCTACATCTCATTCTCTGTCAGCCTTTTGAAATTTTCCCCACTCCCTCCTACTACTGGCTTCTCCCTGCGGTCTCATTAATGTTGTCTGAGGCAGGCCCCTTGGGTGCTAGAAGAGTGGTTGTAATCTTGTAAGAGCCTCCTTAGCTACTGCTCCTGGCTCCCTTCTCCAGATTCTTCTGATTTTTCACAAGCTGTGCCAATTTCATGGCCTCCCCTAAGTCACTAGGCATCAAAACTTTCACTGTCGCTCGGATCTCTGCCTTCAACCCTTTCATGAAATTCCCTTCCAACACTGTATTTGAGAGTCGCTCCACCCTGCTAGCTAGGTGCTCAAACTGCTCCCAATAATCTACTACTAATCCCTCATGTGTCAAAGAAAAGAACTGCTCATAGAAGTCTCCTCCCGATCGGTTTGGAAACGCTCTATTATGCAATCTTTAAATTCCCTATAGTTCCTGATCGGCCTCCGTTGGTCTCTCAACTGAAACCACGATAGGGCTTTCCCTTCCAAGCACAATCCCACTGCTGTTAGCTTCTCCTTCTCCGTCAATCCATTGACGGCAAAGTGCCGCTTTACCTTGTAAATCCATCCATACGCATCTTCTCCTTCGAAGATGGGCATCTTCAACTTCCTCACCTTCTGGTCACTGCCATTTTCCCTGATTCTTCCATAACTTCCCCTTTCCCAAGTGCTCAGTCCACCCCATGTGTCCTGCTCTTCCCTTGCTCTGCCATACCCCAAACTCCCTTCAAAATCCCCCCATCTGTCTTCAAAATCAGCACCACGGCGGCCGTAGTATCCCTCCTGGCGTTCCCCATAACCTTCTCTTTCTTCCCTCCGGATAGGCTCCAGATGGGGTCTTCTTCCTTCCCCTTCCACGATTTCCACCTCATCTTCCTCCCTACGAATTTCAGAATTCATGTTTTTTCTTTCTTCCTCTATTGCCACGGAAGCCATCGTTTGATTGTGGATTTCCAACATTTTATTCATCATGTCCCGGAGATCGGCTACTTATCCTTCCATAGAGGAAATCCTTTCATCCACCGTTGTCTTGATTTGGTTCATCTCCCCTTCAAGCATTTCTTCTAGCGCATCAACTTTCTTGGCTGTCATCTCGATCTGAACTTTTGTAAATCCAAAAATTACGGATTTGGATTACAAAAACAGCACTTCGTCCCTTCTCGACCAAAAATCAGCCGCCGAACTTCGCCAAAATCAGCCCACGAACGGCCCCAAGACTTGCTATGATACCAATTTGATAGGAAACACTTGAAGATCTCAAGTATTTTCTATCAATCTTCGAAAAATAGCAAGAATTCTTCACAAAATCCACACAAAATCACAAAAAACAGTAGATAATTTGTATTATTTGATGAAAGGAAAACATAAAATAGCAAGATAAAATTGATCCTCAATTCGAGAGGAGGATCGATCTCTCCCAATTTTTTTGACGCCGCTAGAGCCTAAAGAAAACCTAAATCTAAGAGATCTCAAATTTCAGCCAAATTCAAGATACCCTAACCCTAGAAAAACAAATTATTTAATGCATACAAATCAAAAGGAAATCCCTAAACAGTCCCTACATTCAAATTATCTCCTAAAATTCCTTCCAACCAAAATCGGCTCCTGTGGGCATCGGCTACGCGCGACATCCGTAGCAGGCGGAAAGCTCCGCTGTTCGCCTGTAAGCCGGTCCCGCCTGGACCGGTCTAACAGCTTGGTGGTCTATCCATTGAGGATTAAAAGCTTAGCTTATTTGCTTGTGTTGACAGCCACTGCTCAGAGCCACTGCTAAAGCTAGAAGTCTCCATTTGCTCCATTGCGTAAAGCTAGAAGTCTCCATTTGCTCCATTGCCTAAAGCTAAAAATCCCCATGCAGTTGGTCATGATGCAAGAGAGATCACGGTATTATATCCTTTGCTTCTTTGTGTTGGTGAGCTCCATGTGAAGCAAATGCTTTTCAGTCATTTTCTGTATTTTCTACCCGTCAACAACCTGTTGGGAACTACGTTGAGATATTATTAGGAGGGTTCTGTGGCAACCCATCTTCAGCAAGCTGCTGGGGTTGTGCTACATGTTGCTCGCAAAGGGGCTGTTGTTTGGGCCTATACAGTTGGTGATCGATAATGGGAGCCCAGTGATCTACCCCAAGCTCTACAAAACGCACTTATATCCCCATGCGAAGAGTAAATGGAAGCATGGAAAGGGGTGCGGGATGGATGCATGCTTGAAGTTGGACGTGTGGTTTATTACTGGTAGAATTGCTAAGGTGGCTGCAGTTCTATAAGAGTGGCACCTAAGGCCATCTATGCTGTCTTTGACAAGCTGCACAAGGTAGAGATGCTTTTGCTATTGATATGGAAAACTAATCGCAGGAATCAAGTAGATTGACTGTCACAATCCGACCCGGTGATTCGAATTAATGAGGTGGGAATGGACAATCGGACGGTTAATACATTTTCTACAATTACACATAATATTAATGATTCTAGAAACACTGAAGATCCCTAACATAATTTCACATTTGAACATTTATATAAACCATATGTTACCTGCTTTCATTTGATCGTCATCTTCTGTAGGCGTATTCCTTTCCTCTTTCAGCCATTTCTACTTATCATAAGACTCACCTGAAAATTTTAGTATTATAGTTTGAATTTACATAGTATACTCAGTGGATAATCATCATTGTCATATAACATTTAAGCATATATAATACACATGTATATTCTTGCATATTCTTTTTCATTTATTATACAATTAAAACATATAATATGCAACATATTTGTATACAATTATCTTTATAATTAAGCTATCCAATTAATTCATTCATTTTTCTATTTCATTCGTTCTTTTTCATTTGACATTTATACATTTTCCCTTTTAATTAGTGCATGAGCACCACTAAATGTATGAATAAAGGTACAACCATTTCCATTTCCATTTCCTTTTTCATTTTCATTTAACGTGCATGGGTACATTGCGTTCCTAGCCAGTACCATAATAGGGTGAATTCCTGTATTTGCATGCATGCATCTTTTCCTACTTTTAATACTTTCATTTATGCTTTTATTTAAATATTAAATGTTATTTCATTTATTTGATTGTTCTTTACAGACATCTTTACATGTATTTTAAATAACATAAACATTTTTAAACATATATATATATATCAAACTCAAAATTCCTTTGAAGATTCCTTTATTGGCTTTAGCACTTCGCCTTTGTGCACTAGATTAATCAAATCTTTTACTGTTCCAAATTATGTTAATTGAGATTAAATATTACTAACCAACTTTGAAGGAATTCTCAAAGCTTAATGCTATAATAATAAATATCAAATTCTAACTTTCATCTTTTACCTCAAATTTATTTCTTCTTGCCGAATCGAATTTCCACCAACTTGATTTCTTTCATTTAAAATCATACACTTTTTGCTTGTCTTTAAGAAATAAATTTTATATATTTTATTTCTCAATTTGAACAGAAAAAGAATATAAAATTGAAATCACTTATAAAGAAGAATTTTCCAACTCAATTTCTTCCTCTTGCTCTCCCAAATTTTCTTTCTCTACATTCAAACTAGATATCGACTCTCCATTAGGTTTCAATCATAGAAGAAATTGCCAAATAAAATGAATAAAATATACAAACTTACCTTCCTTCTCCTTTTTCTTCCTCAGGGCATGATTCCCTCTCAACACAAAGCTTCTCAAGTGTTTTGCTCTCACGGAAGTGAGCAAATCAAAGTTATGACTCACAAGGAGTCGTTATTTTTCACTCCCGTACGTGAAAATTCATTCAAAACCGCGAATCGACCTCGCCTAGAAGCATACGCATGCATGCGGGCCGTGTGCGGTCTGTCTGAACCTACTGTTTGTGGGACCTTTTGTCCGCTGAAGGAAATAGGCCGGTTGAACCGGCCAGGTTCGATTCTCACATTTACTTTGCATGGCTACTTATGCGCATGTTTTGCCAGGATGATCATGGTACTATCACTTGAGCGGTTGAGCTCACACATCCATACTTTTATCCTTCCTTTTGGAATTGCTTCTTCTCTTGGTACTTGATGACTATATACTAGGAAACATTATTACTAACTTGCATTGAAAAATAGAAATGTACATTCCATCAATTCAGTATACTTTGAAATTAGAATTTTGAGTAGTATTGGTTTACATATTCTTGCAATTGTACAAGAAGGAAAAACAATTGATGGGCACGTTCCTTGTACCGGATTACAATTATATATACAAAAAAAAAAAAGAACAAACAAGGCTTTTTAGGCAGCCTATGCGACTTGTTTGCGATGCTAATTCTCTCTGTGTAGTCCTCTTACTGTTTAGATTCACATCAGTGGGCATCATTTACTGGAACGAAGCTGGACAATTTAGGCTTGTGCGCTTGAATCTTATCATTTGAGATTCTTCATTGAATAGGCTAATAAAATTAGATAACTGCTAACAGTTAAAAGCAGTCAATTGTACATATTGTTACTTCTGTAATTCTTTTTATTTACTGTTTATATGTTCAAGTTGGTAAATAATAACATCTGTGTAATGAAAGAGCATTATCAAGTCTGTAAACCAGATCCTCTTTGTTAAAAAACATTCTACTTGATGAAAAAGGTGTTAATGCAATCTAGGCTGTGGACAGGTTCAGTGAATGATATTTGTTATTCTGTTCTATCATTTTCCTGTTAATTAAAATAGTTAACCATGGTATTTGTATTTTGTTGTAATAGTCTTGATGAAAATAACAGATGCTTATTGCCGGAATATGTAACTTTCCATGTGCCACTGTACTTTGAAAAGAATATAAGCCTGTTTTCTATAATAATTAACACAATATTTTTTTATACAATGCATTTTTGTGGTTTTTTGGTTTAATCAGGATCAGACTGGTGCTGGAATGATCAACAGTGAAAACGAGAAAGAAATTCTGGAGATTAATGCTAAGGGAGCTATCATTTTTGTGATTGCTGCATCAGCTTTTCTGTTGCTGTTGTTCTTTTTCATGTCCTCCTGGTTTGTTTGGCTGTTGATAGTATTATTCTGCATTGGTGGTGTGGAGGTATGTTGCTCTTTCAGATTTATATATTTTTATTCCATTAAGATTATTATCTTAATGTACCACTGGTTACTTCTTGTTGTAGGATGATTCAGAGTTGGAATTTTTTATTGCAGCTAATATGATTCCTAGTATGCTTTCATCCAACGGGAACTAGATAATTTACATACTATAAGTAACCAATTAATTCAACTATTTATTTTCTTTAAATGAAAACTGATGATATTAGAGTTTAAGGCCAACATATAATCAAAAATATCTGAGAATTTCAGCAAGAAATTGAAATAATAAATTCAGCTAGCAAATTGAGTTCATTTCCACAAATTAGTTTTTTGTCATCTAACACTTTGATCAAAATCAAGAACACTAAACAAGCAATAATGAATTATATAGATGAAACAAAAAAGGAATTGAAAAAATTAAGAAGTTAGGCTTCATTTCAATAGAAAGTGATGGGTTCTCCCAGATTAGATTGTCAAATTGTTATTGCAGTAGAAGGAATTATACATTTAATTTACACTCTCAAAATTGGAACTGAAAAGATAAGTTTTATTCAAGTCTAAATTTCATATATGACTTTTCTCTAAATATCTATTTATACGCCCATCCTCAGATTATTAGATATGATTGGCACAAAATTAGTGCATTTCAGTTTTATTTGATCTCAAAATTCAAGTGCCAATGAGAACCCATTAACGTTTTCCAGAAATCAAAATAGCGTTCATGCAAACTGAGACATCCACTTGAAAGCCACAGATTGCTTTAAGCTATGCCACTGGAAATCAGCCTGCAATCGTGTATACGACGTGATTAGCAGTAAAGGAAATTGTACATGAAAACTCCCACGTCAAAGCCTCACCATGGAAAACTGCTCGTATTGGAAATTGCATTTCATCAGAGTTGCAAGAAACAGTAGCCTAATTTTAGCTCTAAGATTAATCAAAGATCCTCATCCAAAATTCCAAAATGAGTATGATTCCTGTAGATGCTCGTCCATGTTAATGCCCATCAGTAATGCCCATTAACTGCATAACTTGAAAGGCCCAGAATATTATAATTGAACTTGCAGTAAATTAATCAAGAGGCAAAAAAGCTTGTTTTGGAAGGCTTAAGCAGCTATACACCAACTTTCCAATAGGGAATAGCGGTTGTAATTCAAGCTATGATTATCTATAATCAGGAATTTATTACAGCTCACTAAGCTTGAAAATGACATTGTGTTGAATTAGAACTGAAGCCCAATATATCTCATCTCTTCCAAACTGAACAAACCAACACTAGCAATATTGAAAACTAACAGCGACTAAACAATCATAGCAATATGGACATTAGAGAATACAATTCATTCTTTTTCACACTTTTGGTGTGTATAAACTTTCGGTTTTGGGTCATTATTGGGCCATTTTCATTGTTCGCACCAAATCTTTTGAAGTTGTGACAACTGGTTTATTTAAACTCATACGTAAGCTTATTATTTCTAAAATGGTCTGGTGATACACATTCATTGTAAGTATTACTAAGTATTACTCGCTAATAAATATTTAGATGCAAATATAATAGTTTAATTCATTTATCTAATTTAAAGGTCTCAAATATTCTCGGGAGAATCCTTAATAGGTACCATGTTTCTAAAGTTATTTCTCTTTTTATTTGATTATTACATAACGATTTTAGAAGACTTCAGTTCCTTCCTTTTATTTTGAAATAAGGTTGTCCAGAACAAGATTATGACTTATTAGAAGTCATTTAGGAGGTTATTTCTATGTGGGGAATCGTATAATATTAAAATTATAATGGAGTTTCTTCATATGATCTGTATTTTAAAACTCAAATATGTATTATAAACTTCGGGCATAATTATAGTTGTCTTTTAGTGATGGCATGCTACTTTTTTGTTGCTTATTTGAATAACTTATCTTTTCAGGGAATGCATGTTTGTTTAGTAGCACTTTTTTCAAGGTATGACCACAAGACATATATCTTAATCAACTTTTCTTGCTTTTAGCTCATAAGACCTCTCTTTTCCTTTTTATAACTGAGTTTTTGAGCAGGATATGCAAAGTTTGTGGCCGAAAGACAACAAGCCTTCCCATTTTAGGGGAAGTCCTTATTCTCTCGATTGTTATTTTACCATTATGTATAGCCTTCGCTGTTTATTGGGCTGCTAATCGGCATGCGTCATATGCTTGGATTGGTCAAGATATTCTTGTAAGATGCTCATTATTGGTTACTTTTTCTTTGATGCTTCCAATTAACATTAGAATGTAATTAGTAGTTTTCTTGAGGTTGTTAGTTATTTTGATGGTTTCAAATTTTCATATATTTGAAGGAATTTTGTTACTACTAGTTTTTTTGTATTTCCTGATTAAGCATGATAACTGTTAGAGTTCTAGCAAACCTTCTCTTGAGTTAAACTTAAAATTATGTAGTTCTGTTTCGAATTGAAATTAATTCTAAGTCAATTTGACATAGAATGCAAGCATGCCTTTGAGGGAGGGAATGAACCTAAGAACCAGTTAGAAGTTTGCTAATATATATACTTATATATGTGTGCATATACATAGATACATATATACATATATATGTGTGTTTATACATACATATTGTGTTTATATATATATACAGTTAAATTTTAATTAACTACGAATTGGAAATGGAGTTTGATGGGGACGCCCAAATATGAAATTTGAATCAATTAGGCTCAAATTCATTTTCACTTGTCTAAAAGATTGAGCTAATTTTGAATGTTTTCTATCATGGTTCTATTAAATGTAGAGAGATATTATGATATGAAAGACTTTATATTTTGACAAATTCTCTCTAGTTGTTAGGCTTAACTCCATTCAGATTCTCCAATTTGTGGTCATCAAGGATGGACCATACGACATGTTTCTAATCTTCTTAAAGAGATTGGTCTTGTAGGTTGCAAACCTATTGATACCCCAATGTATATTTCGACCGCTTATGATATTTGTACCTATGATGAGATAGTTTTCATAATAATCAGCAATAATAGTGTTTTGAGAGGCGTCTACTAAAAAAGGTCTATGAAAATCAAGGATGATTGATTGCTTCTTGTTGAGATTGAACTGTTTGAAATGTAATGGCATATGCTTAATTTTATTAACTCTTTTTGTGATGCTGATCCTTAAATGATTACAGAGTTCGTTTTTTCATTTATGATTTTGATGTTATGCTCCATGATGTTAATTATTTTATTTAAATTCATTGGTTGCCAGGGCATTTGCTTAATGATCACTGTATTGCAAATGGCTCGCCTACCGAATATTAAGGTTACTTGCTTGCATATCTTGGCTTACTATTTTAAAATTTAATGTAAAGTTTATTTGGTAAGATGTTACTTCTAATCTAATTTAGTTCTCTTTCCCAGGTTGCGTCAGCACTCCTTAGCTGTGCTTTTGTGTATGATGTATTCTGGGTGTTCATATCTCCTCTTATATTTCATGAAAGTGTTATGATTGCAGTAAGTATCTTACTTATAATTCAATATTTCATTTTTTTTATTTACGAGGAATATTCTTTGTTTCTAAATGGCTACCGTGCTACTGCTTGATACTAGCCTGTTTCTGAGAACTTCTTGACTGTTTTGCTGCGTAGGAAGATCTTATCATCTTACCATGGCTGTTTTCAGTATATCTCCTCTGAAACTCCATCTTTCTTTATCCTAAGCCAATATTTTTGGGAGATTGAAAACAGGACATTTTTCTATGAAGAGCTGTTATAATTGTATTAGTTTCTATAATAAATATTGGCTCTCGTTGACACTGCATTATTCAAGTATATATGTAACCATGATGTCTTTCTTTGTATTCCTATTTGGGACCATAATATCATCACTTAGAATCTCAAAACTATATTCAGTTCAGTTTCCTTTTGAACATAGATTATTAGTTAAGGTACAAGTATCTTAAAACAGCCTCCAATATTGCTTAGTTCTGATCACCTTACCAACAATTATGATCTCAAAGGGCTGTCCTTAGTTTTGGAGACTAAGGACATATATGTGAGAGATAAACTGGAGTAATTTGAAACATGAACCTTGATCTATGTACTTTTAATCAGTAGTCTTGTAGTTATTATTATCATCATTGCTGCACTTATATAGTTTACAAATATCTGACAAGGGAAAGTGATTTAGGCTAACCATCTACTTTTGGTCAAATTTTCTTGTTAGGGCAGTAGTCTACTTATAGTATTGAAATGTTAATATCTTGAATTGCATAATAAATTTTGCTGTTCTTGCATGGTAGCTTTGACTTGAAAATGCAAATATCAAAGTTGGAATTACTAATAAATGTATTTATTTATTCGCAAGATCCTTCTCATAAGTAAACTACTATGTTTGCCTTTTTATATTCTATGTTCTACTTCTACATGGTAGTACTTTTTTGTTTAATTGTGATTTCTTTATCTATTGATTCCTTATTAATACCAGGATAACCTGAATGGATCAAATGTTCATGAATTACAAAATAGGCTAATCATAGGGCTTTCCTCTTTAGGTTGCTCGTGGTGACAGTAGTGGAGAGACTATTCCGATGCTTTTGAGAATTCCTCGCTTTTTTGATCCTTGGGGTGGCTATGATATGATTGGCTTTGGGGACATACTTTTTCCTGGTTTGCTAGTTGCATTCAGTTACAGGTAAAATAAATGGCTTATGATGTGCTTTTTGTGATAGTTGATTCTATTCTAACTTAGAAAATACGTTTTGGTGAATGTGTAGGATTAAAACTGATCATGGTACACATTTATTTCCAGCTAAAATTGTAGTTTATTCTGAAGCATACTGTCATTGTCATCGTCATCACTGTCACTGCCAGTCTCCTTCATTAGACTTACAGGCTTTATGATTGCTCTTTTTTTTTTTCATTCATTCCAATGGTGCATGAGGTGTTTATCTACCTTGCTAAAATTTTTTGAATATTTTTTGTGCATGTTAACTTTTATTCTAATAATTTTTTTTTACTTGGCTTTTAATTTGTAGCTTGTCTAATGAGTATATTTTATATTCTTAGGTCTATATGGTCAAATCATTTAAGTTAATTTTCCATGACCTTATCTTCAATAGATGGTACTCTCACCATCAATTTAATATAATAATTCATCAATTAATCATCCTAGTTTCATCACATATTTTTCTTAACATTTTCATTTCCTCATTGCTCAATTTGGTTCTCTTCTACTTTTTTATCACCAAATCTCATGTCTATATAACTTGGTCAAGCCCAACTATATTTTATAAATTTACTTTTAAATTCTAAGGTATGTCTTAATCTTAGCTAATGGCCTTAAGTTGGGAAGTTATTCCTCATCTGTGCCCCAATTATTTTTATAATAAATATAAGATAATTAAATCTATTACAACTATAATTGTATTTCATATTCTTAGTATCTATTTTGCTAAGCTTATCTTTCTTCTTCAAAATATTTTCCTCAAGTGCTCCAATTTTTAACTTGTTTTCGACGATGTCCTTCTACATATATTGACGCCTATTGTGAAAAGCATACACCATGGCATCCCATTGAGTGCCCTTTGTAAGCATATTTATAAAAAAAAAAACTCAATGTTGATCCTTGATCAAATCATATTGTAATTGGGAACACTTTAATTACTACAAAATTAATTCTAATACTAGTTAATGCTCTATCATACATATCTTTAAAAACTTAAAGACATCTTTGCACGCATTATTTTCTTAATGCAAATCAATCAATTTTCATGGCACTCATCATATGCCTTATGAAGTTCAATAATTACCAGATGATGATCTATTTCTTCTCTTTATACTTAATTTTTCTTAACAAAAAATTGCTTCCATAAGGGACCTTCTTGGCACGAAACCAAATCAATTTCATACCAATATAGTTTTTTAGGTTTATGTTCCATTACAGTCTTCTATAATTTCATTATATGACTTATTAATTTGATTTCTCTATCATCACTATCATCATTATAATGCTGGTGTCAAAACACTTCTTCCACAATCATTTGGTATCCTATCTTCAAATTTTTATTGAATATATTTGTTAACAAAATTAATGCAATTTACTCATTGCTCTTCAAATCTTGATATGTATATCATATGGATCTAAAATGTTACCTTCATGCATCTTCAAAATAACTATATATATTTTTTTATCATATTAATAATATGCATCTTTAATTTATTCATTATTATCTTCAAAAGCAATTTATTTCTTAAAAACTCACGTTTTATAATTTCTCAAAGCAACATTTTCTTTTTTTTATGACTTCATATTTAAAGAAGTTTTTTTTATATATATATATATATTTGTTTCAAATGTATCTAATGTCTAGATCTTTCTTGTCTTATATAATTTTTCTTCTTTCTTCTTAATTTCTAGCATGTTATATGAATTATCAGAAGTTATTGCTTTGCTTTGCCTGTTACTTTCTTTGCAAGGCGTCTGGCTTTCTTAATTCTTATCCTTTGTCACTCTTAAAAGCAGATTTCTTTTTTTAGAGCCCTTCTCACCTTTCACTTCACCTTCAAGTCTCCTTACTAATATATGATTTATTTCTAGATTCTAAACTTCTGCATTTATGGACCATTTTGTTCCACCTATGACTTCACTCAATTAAAGAAATCTAATTTATACTTCTAGACTCCAAAGTTCTATCATCTTATTCTAAGGCAATTACTTATTTTGATCATTTTCACACACGGGCGCGCATATACGCTCCCCCGCACGCGCACACACACTTTATGTTGGATGGTTAAATTTTCTTGTGGAATCATTGGTGCCATGTAAAACATACAATTTAGGATTATTTTAGTTGTTTTATTCTAAATTATGATTATATATATTTGTTAATTTTTTTTAATCCTTTTAGATGATTTTAGGATAGATTTGATTTTAATCTCATCTATATTTCTATAAATAAGGAGATTTTAGATATGTTTTACAGATCATTTGGGGCTCCTTAGGTGTGTCTAGGGGTGCAAACGAATTGAATTTTAATTTATTTCAAACTATTTAACCAAATGCTCTTTTGATCATTCACAATTTCACATAATTCTTATGTATTATCGAATTTGTGCAGGTATGACAGAGCAAACAGGAAGGGAATCGCTAATGGTTACTTTCTTTGGCTAACACTTGGATACGCATTTGGTGGGTTTCTCATGATTGCATTTATGTCTTTGACGTTAGCTACAAAGTTTTTTTTTTTTTAAATCTGTGGATAACTATTTAGCTTGATATATCCAAACTTGGGTTCTATTCCATCTTTACCTCTACAATGTTGGCATGTTTAGTAGTGCACAGTACTATGCAAGATCATTTTGACATAATCAACCATTTCTTCTTTCTGAATATAAAAAAATCTCAGTCTTCAGTTTTCTTTTCTGGAATCAGGACCTGATGGCGCTGCGTTCAGTTTTATCAATAATTCTTATTGTAATTATTATAATTCCCAAATTGTCATTATTTATGATGCAATTTTAATACACCTATGTTGGTTGGTTAATAGAAATATCTAACCATTTGATTATACACATTGATTTTAAATTTGAATATGTTAGGCCGGCCCACCTTGGGCCGGCTGAACATATTAAACCGGTCCCTAGGGACCAGTTTTGGCCTACAAGAGGAGGGGCCAAGGGGGGTAGAATCAAGGGGGAGAGGGGGCGGCTAAACAGATGGGTCCCACACTTTAATTAAGCACTATATTGGAGGGAAAATTCAAATTAGGGGCTGTTTAGGGATTAAACTTTTGTCCTTTTGCCTTAATTAGTTTTGTCTTGTTATGGTTAGGGTTATCTTGAATTTGAGATACCAGATTTGTTCTTGTGGGCACTAGGCTTGGCTAGAGATTTGGAGAGTTGTTTCTTCCTCTCGAATTGAAGAAACTTGTATCGTGTGCTGTTCTTCTTCTTCATTTAGTGAAATCTACTATTTTCTCTCATATTTTTTCCAGTTTCTACTATTTTTCCTTAATATTGCTGTTGTGTGGTGGCTGTTTTCTCCTGAAAACAGCAGTTTTTCTGCTTGTGGACGCTTATTTCCTATCAGAATATTCTGTACAAAAGCTGATTTGTTTTTCCAATGCAGGTCTATTGCTAACCTACATTGCTTTGTATCTTATGGACGGCCATGGCCAACCTGCTCTGCTCTATCTTGTTCCTTGTACATTAGGTAATTTCACACCATTAAATTCCAGTTTTCTAATCTTTTTACACTCATAATTGCCTCTTCTCTTGAACTAAATATCATTAAATTGATTGATATCTTGAATGTTTCTCTGATCAGGACTTATTGTTATCTTGGGTTGGATAAGAGGAGAACTGAGTGATCTGTGGAACTATGGGAACAGTCAGTCAAGAGATAGAATTGTCACAGATGTCTGATCTGAGAGAGAGAGAGAGAGAGAGAGAGAGATCTTATTATTCAAGGTTTGCAATTCTAGTTCATTCTTTCTCATCATTCCAGATTTATGATATTTCTGTGATGATGATTTGGGGTGCTGTGAAGGCAAAAACCTGATTAAACCATCTCCCTCATCATGTATACAAATTGAACTGATATTAAGTAACAATTTTATACCTCTGTAAATGTAAAGTTAAACATATTATCATCTGTAATATTGTATTGAATTTAACATTAATGAACTATCCTGTTTCATTATGTTTTTGGTAATCAGTTGATTATCCTGTCATTTATTTGTTTTTTGGGGGATTTACATACATACCACTTTATTTCATGCTATTTACATATCTAACAATTAAAATTTTAATATTTTATGTCTGTCACCCATAGATCAAAGATGAGTGCAAGGGATGCAATATTAAAGTTTATAGGGTGGTAGGAATGAAATATATGAGTGGCATATTTGATATTTAAGTTTTCTATGAGTGTTTAAATTATATTAAAATGCATCTATGAAAGAATATTTTTTATTTATAAAAAGCAAAATTTGATGATGTGCTTGCCTTTTAAGGGTAAGCATGTCCTTACCTTCATTGTGGCTACATGCATTAATTAATACAAATGATTTAAGATAACTACAAAATAAACGTAACAATATAAGATTGCATGATTTTGAGATATTTCATTTAATTTTATGTTTTATTTGTGATAATTTTTTTTTATCATTTTATACATTAAAATTTTTAGTACAAAAATTTTTTGAAAGCAGTGAAAAAATAGTGATCAAAAGTTAGTTTGAGATAATTTTTTATTGTTTATTAAAGCAATTTTTAATATAAAATTTTTCTGAAGCAGTGAAAAAATCATGAATAAAAGTTGGCCCAAGTAAAATCTTAGGTTTTGTTTGGGACAACTTTCCTGTATAAAAATTTTTAGTTCAAATTTTTGTATTAAAAAATTATTTTAAAAAGCAATAAAAAAAATTGTCTCAAATGAAATTTTAATCTCAATAGATTGGAGTGATGACCATTTATAATTTACTCTTTTGGATATAATAGAATTTACAATCAAATGATCAAATCTCCAATGGCTATATTCAAATAGCATTTCAACATCAACTAAATAAGAAATAATAATATTTAAAAAATCCTAATAATTAATTTATATTCATAATTAGGTCATATAATATATGAAATTGTATATAAATAATCCAACGAATACAATGGAATAGGAATTAAAATAAATTCATCCCTTATAATGCGATTTATTCAATACTACTATTTTTAACATAAAAATTTTTAAGTATACTAAATAAGCTCCAATTTTTTTTTTTTTTTGTAGAAACATAAATGAGTTAATAAGATGTCATAAACATATAAAAAATCTAAATAGTTTAAAAGTGTATAAAATATGAGCTAACTATCCTTAATTAATATAATTTAAGTATGATTAATATGCAAATAATAAACTTAATAATATAATTATAAAACATGAGATAAAATATGATTTATAATAATATTGATAATCAATTATAAGGTGAAATAATTTTCAATAGGAGGGCATGGCCTAAACCATCCCATCCAATGTACTTATGGATAATTTCAATAATAAAATTCAAAAAATCCCTCCTAAAATTTATAAATAAGCTTTAATTCTACTCATATGAGATATCTAAATATATTTTAAATAAATCCAATACAAAGTGGAAATATTTAGATCATAAAGAATTTAAGAGCTCTAACTACCACTTGAGATGTTAATTGGTCATTCTTCGTTCTCGTCGATCCGTAACTCTTCATCATGTATAAATCATTCAGCCTCTTTGGATGGAAAAATTATTCTGTGCGGACATCGGACGATCTATAGACCAATCAGAACGAGTCATGTCACCCTATAAACAGCAAACTCGAGCACTGGTACCAAGCAAAAAAAAGGCATGATGAGTTATAATTGATCTCCGGATATCGTCCAGTGCCCACACAGAATAATTTTTCCTTTGGATGAGAGGGGGCTTTCCAACTACCTAAATTGCTTGTATTCTCCAAGTTATCTAGTTCCCTCTAACTGTATTGGATTTCGGGTCTAATCGGGTCAAGAGAAGACCGATTGGCAACCTGCTCAAAACCCGCGGTTTTAAATACAGTTAGGGTTTCCATCTTCCTGGAGTTAAAGCGGGTGAGTAAGGCGAGGCGGCGGCTGAGGCGCGAGAGGGCGAGAGGCAATCTTCGCTTATCTGCCGCAATGGGTAAGCACACTATCGGCCTTTTCCTTGAAAAGTTTCAATCACTGAACAAGGATCTCCTTTCATGGTGTCTTCTTCTTTGTACTACCAGGTATCTCCAGAGATTCCTTGCACAAGAAGCGCGCCACTGGAGGCAAGAAGAAGGCGTGGAGAAAGAAGAGGAAGTAAGCATTTTTATTAAAACCTATTTGATCGCTTGGTTTTGGAGGATTTCTAGATGTTTGTTTCAACAGAATTTAGTTGCATTTTTTTCTTTAAGTTAAATTATATGAATTACGCTTCTGTTTCTTATAGATCTCGCTCTAAAGTTTTTTTTTTCGTCTAAATCGATGAAAGGTACGAGCTGGGCCGGCAGCCGGCGAATACTAAGCTTTCAAGCAACAAGACGGTGAGGAGGGTTCGAGTACGCGGAGGTAATGTGAAGTGGAGGGCTCTTCGTTTAGATACAGGAAACTATTCTTGGGGAAGCGAGGCTGTGACCCGCAAGACTAGAATCCTCGATGTGGTCTATAATGCTTCGAATAATGAGCTTGTGAGGACGCAGACTCTTGTGAAGAGTGCTATAGTGCAGGTTGATGCTGCCCCTTTTAAGCAATGGTATCTTCAGCACTATGGTGTTGAGCTTGGTAGGAAGAAGAAGGCCGCTTCTGCATCTAAGAAGGATACTTCTGAGGTATATTCTTTTTCGCACTGCTTTTAGTGCTCTGTTGTTTTCATAATGCTGCTATACTTTCCCTAGATTTTTTTTTCTTTCATAAATGATATAAACCCTAGAAATCTACATTTGAGTTGAAACCACTTAAGCATTTGTGAGGTTTACCAACAAAAATTCAGCCGACCAAAATTGTATCACACGCTCTTCAAATGTGGATTTCTTAGGCAAGTGCAGCAATGCTTATTCTCATTGTTTTTGTTCTTAAATTTTCTTTCAGATTTGTGTGCCAAATTTCACTGAAAAAAGTATTATTTGAAGGTAAAATGATTTAGATAGTTCCATCCATTCGGGTTGGCTAGCTTTCTTTATGTTATATTTAAACTTTTTTGTTGAAATTTCAAGATTATTTTGGTGGCATAAGAAATATTTACATAGGTTGAAATCCCAAAGTTTTATCTTTTGTATGTGAATATCAATTGCTGATTATAAAATAGTGGGGTTGAGTTTATAGTCTGGAAAAAAGTGCCTATACATTCTTATGTTCCACAGGTGGAAAAGTTTCATTGATTAGATTAATTAAAATCTGCCTCAATCAGCCTACCTCACAGAGCTGGAGGCTTGAATTTCATGTTTAATTTTTTTGAATGGACGGGTTTCCTGGTCAAATTGGGCTTTATACATGAAGAGAATGGTCTGTTTTAAAGAGAATCTGGGGTTTGTGTTGTTTTTTAGTGATTAAATTGTATTAATCTGTTCATCTTTAGGTTGTTAGTAAGTTGGATCATATAATTTGATTTCATGTTGCTTCTACCATTTTGTATATTAAAACTAAATGTCAGATGAACAATGCTTTGTATTTTGAAAACAATCTTTCTGTTCTTTTGCTGGCTTTGTGAAATCAAGTAAACACGCAAATGTTGATTTGGGGGTCCTTTCAACTATTTCTATGAAGCAATCTTTATTCATATTTTTTATTTCTTCAACATTCGATGCTATAACATGTAAATGTTGAAATTCAAAAAGAATATTTCACAAAATTTTAAAACTCAGCTCATGTTTGACACAATTCATTAACAGCCCTATTTTTACTCTTGGCAATTTGGGTTTGGTCATCTGTGATTTGGATTCTATTCAACAAGTCTAGCTATTGTTGAATATAATATCTGAACCTTTTAACTGTTTGCATTTTGGATTCTATTCAACCAGTCTAGCTAATGGCTGGGATATAGTCATATTTTTCTCTAAGAATAAATCATATTCATTCAAATAGATGCACGAGGAAAAGAAGTTCAAACTTTACATATCGTGTAGCATGGATAAAATTCATAAATGACGAAATTCAAACTTTAAAGTTTAAATGAATTTAACTTGTATAAATGGGCTTGTTCACGAATCAAGCTTTATAAATTAACAAATGATGAAAATCGAACTTTATAATGAATTAAACTTTATAAATGACTAAGTTAAATTCAAAATAAAAGACAAAATGCAAAGACAATTCAATTTGTTTAAATCAGGTGATTCAATTACACATATTCAGTAATATCATTTAAATTTTATATGAGCTTCAGTAGATTGCTTAGTTCTAATTTTACATTGGATTTTAACTCAATTATAGATCAAGCTTTATATCATGTATTGTAACAGGCCTTAATTGAGCTTCTCAATGAGTTTGTTCATTAGTTTTAAATAATATTGTTCATGATCATAAATAAATCGAGGAACGGGTTGTTCAATCTTGTTCATTTAACAATTAAATATTTATAAAAATATTTAAGCTATTTCAATTAGTTAATCAAACGAACTTGAACAAGATTTTATCGAGCGGAGCCGTAAGTAGTTTATCGAATGCTTGGTTCATTTGCAGCCCTAATTATAATGTTGCCTAAGCATGGCATTTATAAGGATGGCTTTCTTACTTTCTTTGCCGTCCCAATTGAAGCCTTATCTCTTCTTTATTGTGTGATATTTTTGTTAAACGTCTCAGCTGAAGACCTTTATTACATGCTATTAGACTATGGCTTGTTGTGATGATTGACTCATGATTAAATTTACTTAGCGCATTTTTTCATATTAATATAAAAAACATCCCACAACTTAACAACATGTTAGGTCCAAATTTGAATATCACTAAGCCTTTGACATAAAACTTCATGTGATGATAACTCTTCATATTGTCCTTTCACCTTTGCCTAATCGTTTATTTGCCATAGGCTCAAGAGGGTGAAGCCACCGCCCCAGAAGAGGCAAAAAAGAGCGGCCATGTCGAAAGGAAGCTGGAGAAGCGGCAACAAGGCCGCACTCTCGACCCACACCTGGAGGAGCAGTTCGGCGGTGGACGTCTACTTGCCAGCATCTCGTCGCGCCCCGGCCAATGTGGCCGAGCCGACGGGTAAGTAACATACAACGAAACAAACATTGTGTTTCATAATAGAGAAATTTACATACATACATACCACTTTATATCATCTTGTTTACATATCTAACACCCGATTTTTTAATATTATATACATACCATCTTATATTATTTTTATATCAAATATGCCACTCATTATTTCATTTCTACCATTGATATTTGATATGAAAATAAAGTATAGGTTGTATGTCTGTAATATTAAAGTTTTAAGTGTTAAATATGTAAATAGAACAGTATAGAGTGGTATGTATGTAAATCTCCCATGATAGTATCATGCAGCTATCATATTCTGCTTCCTCCTTGCAACAGTTACATACTTGAAGGCAAGGAACTGGAGTTCTACTTGAAGAAAATCCAGAGGAAGAAAGGCAAGGGTGCTGCTGGTGCTGGAGCTGCTTAGTGACTTGGCTAACCTTTTCTTATGCTACTTTGTGCTTCCTGCAGCATCTGAAATATTATTTTTTCACAGAATTCGTTTGGGACAGCTTTTGAACTGTTTTTTAAATTGTCTTTCATATTACAAAGGTTTCAAATTCAAGAAATTTTTATACTAAGAAGCTATTTTTAAAAGCAAGAAGAAAGCCGTCCCAAACGAAGCTTTAATCTGTCAACTTTTTTGTTTATTTATTCCCTAAGATGTTTTATTTTTCAACTTTTTGTAGAACAGAACAAACGAACCAAGTTTACTTTGTTGATTTCTTTATGAGGTTGGTTTTGTTATTTTATTAATTAACCTGTGCCTTTTTGTAATGTTGCATATTTGCATTGTTCATTGGATGAGGCTGCAAATATAAATATGAATTTGTTGTTGCTAATGATTTTGTAATAAACAGTTATGAAATATTTTGATTATAATTTAATTATGATATAACTTTTAAATTTTTTATTTAATTTATAATGATTATGATAAAATTTTTAATTTCTCCCTCAAAGAGTGCTTGCAACAGGGGTGGAACCAGCTTCAATTTTGAGGGGGGCAAATACAACACAAAAATAATTAAATATTAAAAAAATAATATTATATATCTATATATTACGAAAAGTTCTTTAAAAAAAATTAAGCAAGAAAAATAATGAAAAAAATGTGTAATTAAAATGTCATGAAAAACATGAAAGAGAATATTATAATTAAATGTGAAGAAATATATAAATATTTTAGGGCAAGTTAGGACATAACATATAAAATTTTAATATAGTTATAACTAAATTTTAGAAAAATTAGAAAATTTTAATATAGTTATAACTAAATTTTATTATTTATATCCATAACACAAAATAATTAAAGAAAATAAAAATTAACCAATTAAATCCTTAATATCTTCATAATGTCTATTGGGCACCATGAATGCTCTCAACTCTGAGCTCCACCTTTTTTGGACCAATTAATATATTATTACGAGCTCTTATGCGATTTTCTAGGTTGAATCATCAAAGCCCTTAGCCTTTGAGCTATCGGCATCGACGACATGCCTACCAAAATTTATGAAGCCCTCAGCAACAAAGAAGTGAGGAAATTACACATGTACACGTAGCTACGACATGTTAATGCAATACACATTATGGGGGTTTTAACATTACACACTTTACTTACTCTTTTAAGATTTTCATAGTATGACAGATTATGAGAGTTTAGAATGGTATTGAGATTGTAAGTTTAATCTATCATTTATGTCTTCACGCTTGAGTGATTCGATACATAAAACCCTCGACCTTTGATTTGGTCCTCTGCCTTTGGGCAAATTATTGCGTCCGGTGTCCGGATTTGTTCGGACATCAATCCAGACGTGTCACGTCAGCAAAATACATCGGGCCCTGATGTATTTGGGTGATATGGCACATCTGGATTGGTTGTCCGGATGTCAGGTGACCGTATACAATAATTCACCCTGCCTTTTGAGGGTGTCCTATGGCGGGCCCTTATTGAATTACATCTTGTTGCATGGATTGGGATTGGCAACTAATCTCTGTGAAAAATCTCAATCAAACATCATAGTGCTATGAAAATTTCATTTCAACTTCTATGATAAATTATTCTACTAATTGCATGTAAATACATTAATATTTTGTTATTTATATAATTTTATTTTGAAATCAAAATTATCTGATTTCATGTAATTTTAAAATTATAACCGAAGATTCCATATCAATTTTTAAAATAAAATTTTCACATATATCAAAGAAAGTTCATAAACAATTGGACTTTCATCTCTATATCATCAATGTGTTAAAACAAAATTAGCAGCATTATTTGCATAAGCTCAAACTCTTAATTATCGAGATATTGTCTGTCTTTGACTAATGATGTAACTTCTTAATATGCCACCCGCTTAACTTTTGACTTTATAATGAAAGTCTAACTATTGCACAAAAATATATCTTAATGCTTAATAGTTTAATTTTATTTTCATAGAAAGTTGTAAATCATTGATATGCGCATCTTCGATATATCTAAAAAGCCTTGCTCTAGCTAGGGAAAGTCAAATATGCCATAGCTCAACTCATAAGACATCAAGAAGCAAAAATTAAATAAAAATAAGAATGTTTTCATTGGAATCATTAGGGGTGTCAATTCGGGTCAACAGGTCGAACCCGTAATTGACCCGGCACTATTCAGGTCAACCTAAACTCGACCCATTCTTTAAAATGGGTTAGGTTTCCGGACCCGAACCCGACCTAATTCGGGTTCGGGTTGACCCTACTCGAATGATCCGGGGTTGACCCAAAATTGCTAGTTTTTCGGGTCAAAAATCGGGTCAATCTTCAATTTTTTGGTCAAAAACGAGTCAATCTCGGATTTTCGGGTCAAATATGAGTTTTCGTGTCAATTTTGGGTTGCTGGGTCAACATGAACCCGACCCGATTTTTAAAACGGGTTGATTTGTTGAATTCGAACCCGACCCGTTTCGGGTTTGGGTTGACCCGAACCTGAATTTTTCCGAGTCGGGTTCGGGTCGTGTCAAAAATTGACACCCCTAGGAATCATTAAGACTCTCATGATTTACTAATATAATATCCTGTGGTATGGGTGTAAACGAGTCGGGTTGAGCTCGAGTAACTCCTTGATTAAGCTTGAGCTTGATTAGCATTGTATGTGAGAAATAATTCTAAGCAAAAGACCTACATAAAAGCCAATGCCCACATGAAGATTTTTAGCCTATGCATAACTAGTTTGCCTCCTCAATCTTAATAAAATTTAAAACAATTGCTTCTATTAACAAATATTACAAGTTTGAACAAATTTAATTACAATTAGATTTGGCATAGATATCCCCATTATCATAAATTATTATATAATGTTTATTTTTTTTCATCCTCTCATATATTATGTCATTTTTGGGCTTATGTAGGACTAAATCAAAATGCACACATATGAAATAGACTACATTAAAAATTTATAAATATACTAATCATTACAATAAAAGTTTTTTTCAAATGAATAATATTATAGTTATCTATAACATAGAAATCATCACCTCATAAATTTAAAACAAATCTTTTTATCCACTTATTTAAATTATATTTTCTCCACACTATTAAGTAATAAAAACAATTCTATCAAAACTTTTAGTATCTTTTAATATCTTTTTCTCAATTGTTTTCCACTTTTAATGGAATCAAAATTTAATTTAGAAAACTCGGAAAATTTCTACTTTTAAATATTTTTATACTAAAAATTTTACTTTAGAAAGCAGAAAAAAAACTGTTCAAAACAAAACATAATTGGCACACAGTAACCATAGAAAATTATAGCAATCAAAATTTGCCTTCATCCACAGCGAATTATTACGTCCGGCCGGACATCCAATCCAGACGCGCCATGTCACCCAAATACACTGGGGCCCGATGTATTTTGATGACGTGGGGCATCTGGATTGGTGTCCGGATGAATTCTGACACCGGACGTAATAATTTGCCCATCCACACACAAAAGAAGCCCAAAGAACTATGGCATATACCTTTTTCAATGCTCTGACACTTTCAAAGGAATCAAAACTTTGTTCTCATATCTATAAAAGTGACAAATGACACATTTACATAAATTAGTAGAAAACATGAAACACTTACCGTATTACCGGTTCGTTGTGCCAATTTTTTAACTAAAAAGTTGCTTTTAAAAACTCGGTACACCTCAGTATAGGCGCGATTTTACCTACCACCAAATCTTCCTCTGCATCCTTACACCGAACCAAAAAAAAGTTCCATATAAAGAGGCCTCTCCAGCTCTGAACTCCATCTTCATTCCATAAGCTTTGACTAACTACTGCGTCCATGACTAGCTCTTACAATTATATTATCGGCGTCCTCGCCTTCAGCTTTCTGGCTTTCATGATCTCTGCAAGGGCGGATGTCACAGATATCCGAGATCCTAATAATGATCATACTGCAATGGCCGCAGCAATGACTGCCATGAGAAGCCAACCAGATCTTTCCTTTTGCTGGCTGACAGGCGCCCAAAAGTTTTCAAAGGATTCAAATTCATCATATTACCATCTTCAAATAGTGGTTCGAGAGAATGATAGAGGGAATAAAATTATCGTAGATACAACGGTGATCATTTATAATGATCCCGACGCGGTTCCAAACATGAGCTACTTAAGCCGCTTCCCTTATTTCGGGGAGACTGATTCTCCATATTCTCGCTGTAATTAGGTAGGGCTGCAAACGAACCGAGCCGAGCCGAGTACGTGAGTGTTCATGTTTGAGTTTGTTTATTATTACCTTGTTCAAGTTCGGTTCATGTTTGATTCGAGCTTTATTGTTTGTGTTCATGTTTAGTTCGTTTAATTTATCAGTGTTCATGTTCGGTTCGTCTAGTGTTTATCGAGCTATAAACAAACAAGCATTAACGAGTTATGTTTGTGAATATATTTAGCAAACAATCTATTGAACAAACAAACTTTAAATTTGTTCATGAACATTTTATACAAATAATCTAGCAAACAAGGATAAATGTAAAATTTCACTTGTTTATGAACAAATTTATTATGTTATAATAAATTTAAAATATTTATATTATGTACATTTATCAATTTTATAATTAAATATTATTCAAATTTTTATCGAGTTTATTCACGAGCTCTAAATCGAGCTTAATGTCGAGCTTGTTCACGAGCTTGAAATGATGTTGTTCGTGAACATAAATGAACCGAACACATTAGTGTTCAAGCTTGTTTATTTAAGGATCGAGTATTTAAAATGTTGTTCAAGTTTGTTTGTTTAGTCAGTTAAATGATCACAAACGAGCTTTAATCGAACCGAACAACGAGTAGCTCGTCAAAGTTTGGTTCGCTTGCAGCCCTATAATTAGGCTTCGTTTAGTATGATTTTCTCTATGCTTTTCGAAGCAGCTTTTTGGTACAAAATTTTTTAGTTTAAAATTTTTTGTACTAAATAAATTGCTTTAGAAAACAATAAAATGCAGTGCCAAATAATGAATATGGCTGCTTAGATTATATAATTTTGCTATATATGAGATATTGATACTTCATTAATATCGATATAGAGCAAAAATATATAATTAATGAATAAAATAATTTGCGACTTCCAAGTTCCAACTTCAAAAACTAAATAACCTCTCATATGTTTTATGAAATATTTGCATGAACTTAAGGCTTCATTTGAGATAATTTTCTTACTATTTTCTATAACAATTTTTTTTTTTTAATTATAAGGCTATTTTTGGTGCAATTATTACATCCACTGTCCGAATGCGTTCAGACCAATAACCA